ATATATACAAGCAAAACAAGTTTTCGTGATGGCATGAGTAAAAGTATTTCAATGTGGTCTCACATGTCCCTGGAAGCTTGAGTCAATTCTCTAGGTACTGAGCAACATTGAGAAGCCAGTGAAAGTGGCTACGATGTACACAAATAAATAGATTCGTGTTGGTTCAAACCCTTTTAGAAATTCATGTAGCTTGTGCTCCTCTTCTGCATATGCCAGAGGATCATAAATCCTAAAATAAAGACATCATGCCATGCCTTCTACAAGTGTGCCTATCATGCTGGAAGACTTGGATCTTCTCAAATGGCCCATGCAGACCTGCAGCTACTCCGAGAAAAGCCGAAAGCTTCCCCTTGCACACAGCTCTTGGAGCCAATGTGCTTGACTTGCAGCTCAGCCTCAGACAAGGCCAATCTCTAGTGCTGCAAAAAAAGTGGTTTCTGGACCTTTTAGGAGACGTACTCACAGATTCTTTTTTTTTCCCCCCCCTTTGGGATACCGTAATGAGTTGCAGTAAGAAAAGAAAATACCGGTGATAACAAAACACATTAGGAGTCAATATCCTAAAATTGTCAGTGGCCCCAGAACACCATGTTTCTCTTGTCCAAGTGAGCCAGGGTGCATTTTAACGTCTGTGTGTGAGGCAGATTCAAGGGGAGTTCACAGCCTTCCTGCGAGGGCTGCCTGGGCACAGACCACATTCCTAGTATGCTCTCACTTAAAATCTGCCGGAAAGGCCAGCAGCAATCTCCCAGTCCAGCGCGGTGCTCCAGATCCCCGGGTTTACCTTCAGGTGATGGTTCTCCACGGGGCCAGAGCCTTCAAGGTCTGTGTGCCGGACGTATTAGGTTACTGAAAGAGAGAGACGGCTGCTGTGCGTGCCAGTGGTTAGTAAAACTGGAAGCTGTAACATCATCTTTCTCAATTGATTTGAGGAAAGAATGTTCATAAAATATATACTGCTTTTGGTTAGGGGCTGATTTCTAAATAAACACACTCAGCAATGGAAATTGTGGAAACAGGGAGAAGAAACAAAGCAGGCATTCAGAAAGGTGTGCTTCTCACCGTCTTCTCCTTTTGCAAGCTTTTCAAAGATTGTAAAATCACTTGTGTTAAGTTTATGATTTATGGCTAATTTGGCTTCTTTCAGTTATTGAAAGCGAATCTTACCTTCTCTGGAATATTCCTGCTCAATCTAACCGACAAATGTGCTTCTCTACCTGGGAAGGCATTTCACCTCGGGGATCAGCAGGCAGACAACAGAGGAAGAGAAAGGAAAGCTTCCCTGTGTCAGATCTCACAGCCCTCTGGGCCCCAACAAAACAGGCCATGCTGGGGATCGGGGCACCGCACAGCGCACCCACAGCCTCCAATGGCAAAAAACAGCGCTGATCCGCACAACACAAAGCCAGACAGAGTGGGGCTCTCTTCCCTAATTTGCAACGAACTGAGGTCAACTAGATTTTAATCTCAGCTACAAACTGGGAAGGAGAAAACAGCAAGAAAGGAAACTCCACCACTTGGTTAGATCCTGCTTTTAACACAAGATTGTGTGACCGATTGCTGCACAGGATGCTTCCAGAAGATGAGAAGGCCAAAAATAAGCAGGGGAACACGGTTGGCCCTGATGCTCACATTTATCTCAAACTGAACAGTGCAATCCGGCACAGAGCCAGAGTACACATGTATAAATGTTAAAGTTGCACTATGTTTTCCATTTAGCTGTAATTCTCGAGCGATTTTCAGGATAACGGTTTGATGAGAAGAAAACGCACGCACCCAGAGCAGCTCAGACTCGCCTTTCAACAGCCGGCTGAACAGCCAAGAGTGGGCAAGTCGAACTTACCTTCAGCTAGCTCACATTCTCTCTGGTGGCAGGGAACCCAAATATGTGAAATAGTCCAGTACAAAGCTCTGCTAGAGCAGCAGGTAACCGACACCCTGCTAACAGGAAATGCAAGTGCTGTAAGAATTCAGGAGGGGAAAGATTGTCTTGGTAAACTGACAACAGGCTTTTAATAAAGTGGGGGGAAATTTTTGAGTTTTGGCATTTACTGTAATTGTAAAATAATCTACTTAACCTCTTGGAGCCTTAATTTCAACAAAATGATAATAATCATTATGATACTATAAACACTCTACAGTTATCATAGAAACTAGGACTTGTATGTGAAAGGATTCTATAAGCTGTAAGAAGCTATAAAATGACCATGGAGTGTCTAGTGGAAGATATTTCACCATTCGTTTGGGAAGGCAGAAAAGGCGAGAAGGTCAGAAGGGTCAGGATCAGCTTTTATTCACATACGTCTCCATTGCTGGAACTTTTCTGGTGCCTGTGCATCAGTTCTATAACAAAACCATTCTGAAGCTCTGTAAAGGTGAGCAGAAGTATGCATATCTGGACATCAAAACAGAATGCTAAGCCCCAGTACCTGCTCCTGGATGGTCCACAGAAACAAGTCTAAGTCCTAGTTTCAATTTGGGATTTCTAAAGTCACAATAAATCACCAAGTTTGGGAACGTCAAATGACTGAAATGGTTTCTTTTCCATTTAAAACAGAGCCAATTTTGTAGCCACCAAATGACCCATTGGTTCCATGGATCACTCTGATCAATAGCTTTTGAAATTTGCAAACTGAGCAACAGTAGTTCCTCCAGTCTAGTCTTTGTCATGTCTAACTTAGCTTTCTAGGGCCCAACACAGTTCAGGGTCATCAACTGATAACCTCAGGCCAATTCTAATTCCAAGGGCTTTCCATAATGGCACCACAAGCTCCGTAGCCTGAACTTGGTCATGAACTCACATTTCTAACATGAAAGGCAAGTGAGGGTGGGACTCGGGCCCCCTGACTCCATCTGCCTAGTCCTTGATGTGGTGACCAGCATGTGAGTGGACAAGAACAAGTACTTCCTGAGCTCTCCGTAGGAAAGAACTCTAAAACCCTTGGGTCACTTGAGAATCCGAGGAGACGGCGGTATATGCAAAGGGAACCACGGCCGGCCTCTACAGTTGTTCCTAGAGAAAATAACTTAAGGTGCTCCAGGTTTCTCAAAGATAGGTGTAAATTTAAGTCGCTTGATTAAAACTTCATAAAAATCTGTATTTGGTGTAGGTAGAACCATCTGAGAGGGTATCAGTGTATGAACGAAGATGAAATTATGGTCTGATCAGAAGCACCTTTCATCTGCCTTACACAAATTTCCAAGGCCTGTTCCATTGACATGAACAGATGTGGCCAAAGACTGGCTTTCAGTCTTTGCAGCAGAAATGGGGCTACACCTGGGATTCTGGGTTCCTGGCGGACCACTGGCTGGCTCACGGCTCTGTGGTGGTGCATCAGTGTGAGTGAACACAAGGCCCTTTAAGGAGGATGAAGCTGTATCCACATGCCTTAGGACTGTTGTTCAGTTAGTCACTCAGTACCACTTCCAGGAATATGCGGCAGCGACAGGTGGTTGAGTCACACCGGCCTTGCCCAAGCACTGGGAACAGGCAGCGGGATGATTCAGTTCTCTATGAATGAAACACCTAGAGCTGACCTCTCAGTCCCATCCTAAGCTTCTAGATGATTCATCGTGCCCTCTTTGACCTCCTTCACGAGGTAACCAGGGCGTGCAATCCCTTCAATACTCGGTGGCGTGGCGGTAAAGAGAAGCCATCCTGTGAAGGGCAACTCTCAGGGCAAATTCTCACTTAAGCAGTTTGAAACATTCAACCTAAATCTATAAAAGATGGCTATTTTTCAGCCTCTAAGAAATATTATAGAAGGCCAGGAGAAATTCATTCCTTTGGTTGTGGTTCTTTAGACACAATGCCATGATTCTCAGTTTAGTCAGTTAGATTAAATTTGGAAACTACATAGAAATTTTCTCACATTGTGATCTCTGGAAGACCAATGAATCCAACTCTTGAGTCAGCTCCAACATTCATCAGAATTCTAGGGCGGGAAAGTCAGAGAAGTGTATATTCAGAATCCTCAACAGTATATGTAATTTAAAAAAAAATAAACACGGGGTGGGGGAGGAGAAAAGTAGATGCTCACGGCCTAATATCCTGTAACCTTTGGTCAAGCGGTCCTTGGCAAATTTCAACAGATTCACTTAACTGGGAGATAAGACTGAGCAGCAGAATACCACGCAAACAAAAGCAAGGAGACAGAATCAGGAATTATCAGTGAAAAACAGGGTTATCCCTAACAGCGAGGGCCCCCCCGACGCAGCTGGTGAGGAGAGCAGAGTCCATGCACTGTGGAAGCTTGCAATGGAGACTTTTTACGTCTCCCCAGGTAAAGCTATAGCCCAGCACTCAGAGCCAGCCAGCATGGCTGAGGGAGGAGGAGGGCCACATGTGGAGCTCATTACTCACGGAGAGGCCATGACAAAGAACATTTCTCCAGACTTTTCATGGGGGCTTCACTTTCAGGAAGTTGCTATAATTACTGCTCAAGTCTAGAGCAGGCTGCAAGCCGCTGACAGATCTAACAGACGAGGAGGAGGAGGAGGGAGAGCGAGGGGGGAAAAAACTTATCTGCCCTTTTTGACGAGTGAAATGCCAGAAAATAAAGTGCCACAGGAAAGCTCAAAAAGGTCTCCAAACGAGCTCTGCCTTCCAACGCCCAGCTCTCTGTTTACTATTTTATCTACTCTCTATCTCCAAATTACTTCTCTAGCCCGGACCGGACAGTGAATTTGTACTTCTGCTCTTAGCTCACTCTCAGATGGCCACCGCAGAACTGTACATCTTGACTCTTTTTTTTTACAGCTTTTCCATACTGGGGCCCACTTCCTGCCTAGTGGAGGAAAAAAATCTGGCCTGAAGATGAAATGACTGCTTAACGTTACACGAGAACATCTGGTACCATTTTATGCACAGACCCATGTCTGAGAGCAGGCGATTCCAGCGGTCTCTCCAGCGGCACAGCGCATACCCGAACCTCCCCAGGGTGACATCATCCCATATATGGACTCTCCAGCCCAGCCCTCCCCCTTTTCCTGGTCCTAAATTCATTGCCAGTTCCCTAGTCTGCAGCAAATGTGCCACGTCAAGACTGGAAAACACAGCCCTTGAGTGTGTCTCAGTCAGTGCGGCAGGACGCAGGGGGAGCCGAAGGCAGCCCCTGGCGCAGGAAGGGAGGCTCTTCCCCACGACGGGGAGAGGAGTCCGAGTCCACGGATGGAAGCTTCTGGAGATCCTGCTCCGTCGCCCCAGTGTTCAGACTACCTGTTCAGGACAATGCCGTTGTACAGTAGTCTGCACATTGGTTAGACTGGGCAAGGGACAGCAACGCCACCGACGGCTGGGGACCAAATGGGCTGTTTCCAAGGCGAAGACCTGGGTTTGCTCCTTTGTTGAAACTCATATCCAGTGTTTTTCTTCACAGGTTTTGCACACTAGGGACCAAGAATCCCTCGGGGGCTCTGCCGGGAAAGGACCGCTCCAGGGAAGACCGGCGGGTAAGGCCTTGGTGACGGCTCACCTGGTCTGTGGCCACGGGGACCTAGGTAGGGATGCCTGGATTTGCGTGGACACGCGAGAGTCACGGGTCTATGTGCGGCCGAGGGCCATGTGTTGAAAAGAACAATGCTGTGTGGTCTATAGCAACTGACTGTATGTTTCTGGTTTTTAAAGTTTGATAATTCAAGTGTTTTCTTAAATTTAAAGGGTTTCCCACTTCAAAATGGAATATGAAAAATCTCCAGACACTTAAAAATGACTGAGACTAGTTTTGAACTGTTGGAATTAAAAATTCAGAGACTTGAATACTCTTGTGAGGGCTGTAGGCATGACTTCTAAGACCCCCAGGAGTGAGCGCATTTTTTGCCCTAAAGAATACTTGCTATTTTCAAAATTCCATATGAAGAGAGCTCTTTTGAACAATTATATAATAAAAATCTCAGGAATAATAATACCTAACAACAAAGGAAGAGCCTGCCAAGTCCTTGCCCAGCACACAATGCGGGTGGGACTCTGCCGAGATGCGGGCCAGCCCACAACCCACTGAGTCAGCCTTGAGTGGCTCCGGGCCTAGAAACCTCTGTCTTGAGATAGCCCAGTTTATGCCTCTGCATTACGTTTTTTCAAATCCAAGAGTGGTTGATAGCTGCTACTCAGCTGAGCCTGTATTTTACAAGGCTCTCCTTCTTCCAGCATTTAAAACGATAAGGCACTTTGTCTAGAAACCCGCTGATAAAAAAGGAATTTGTAAACGAAGGCACAAGTTTTCCTTGGTCAGTTTCCAGATGTCCTGGAGGTGACGGAGGGTGGGGGGGGGGCAGGAAGGTGGGCAGGAAGACAGCCCTCAAGCTGAATGAAACCCTAATAGAGAAAATAATGGTCAAGCCCCAGTTGCAGTGCACTCTGTGCTGGCTTCAGCCGTGGGTCCCTTAGAGAAAGTTCTGGAAAAACCTAACTGCCTCACCCCCCACTTATTTCTCCCCGCAAACCAGTGTGTACAATGGAAATGTCTCCTCTTCTGTCGGTCTCTAGGCTGGCTGCAATCTCTTCCTTAAAGTTACAGTGGCTCCTGAAAAAATCCTTCTTTAAGTTCACACATTTTGCAACGATTCTAAAATTGCCACAAGTTTCCTCTTTTGTAAAATACTTTATTACAAAAGGTTCCCCAAGTGTCTCTTTGTCAAAACAATTTATTTTAAAAATTATCTTCTGACCATCCCTAAACTGGTGTAAGGAACCTCTAAAATGTTTCAATCTGTTCCTAATTTTTCATTAAAACACTAATAGCAAGGAGAAACTGAGCTACTTTTCACTTAGTTGATACAGTGAACTCATCCTTTCATTTTCCATTGTGACTTGAAGATTTCCATAGCAATTATTTTTAAAATCTACAGGTTTTTTTTTAACATAGAAAAACTAAAATGATTTATGGGATCATACGTTTTAAGAAATGTTATTTTTACTAGCTGATAAAAATCATTAAAGAGGGAAAAACTACAAGCTGCAAATGGCAATGTTTAAGAACTCCCAAATTTTGTAACTTTTTTTTTTTTTGCTGTATAAGTGATTGAATTTCATCATTTGCCTTCATTCAATGTATATTTAATTTAAATGTCGTTCTTCATATGAAATGGCTTTTTTGTATCAAAGAAACTAACTCCCAATAGTATGTCACCTATTTTGTCCCTGGGGATAACTTTTAGCCTGGAGATGGAAGGACATAATGGTGGTGTCCTTGGCCTCAGTCCAGGGGTAAAACGTAAGGACTGCTTTGTAAAGGGCAACAGAGGAGTCCCTGCACGTGCTCAGCAGAGTCTTAATGGCAAACTTTGAACAAATGAAAAGAAATTGAACTTAATTTCAAATTGCACAAGTTACATTTAAAAGTCCAAGGTCGCTTTTCACACAAGATGGCAGTCTGCTTGCGGGCTCTGTGCCAACACCTACATACACACACCACCCGACGCAGCTGCTCCTATTCCAGGGTAATTAGAGTGATGCTTAACTTTATTGTGATATTACTTTATAAGGAGATATACAAATATTTTAGGGATCATGGAATCTATTCCAGAGGAAACAAACCAACAGTGAGCATCTTCAACGCCATCTGCCCTGGGCTGTCTTGGTAAGTATTAAAACTGAACACGGTATATGCTCACAGAGGGGAAAATGCTGGGAGGGTCTGTCCAAACTGTGGTTCACAGAAATTTCATAGCTGTTTTCCATTTTGGAGTGTGGGTGATTGACAAACTAGTCGAGGTGCTGGGTTGAAATAATTTTTTCAGCCATCTCAGAGAAAGGAAATCCAGCCTGAGCTTCAACACCACCACTCTGCAATTAATTTGGAAGAGGATCACCATCACGTAAAATCGTCTACTAAAATTGTTAAACCTGCTTTTCTTAAGCCATAGATCTCAAAATCAAAGCAAGTTTGTTTAGAGTGGGACCACGTTTCACACTGATGGCTTTCCTGCAATTAGTCAATAGGCTTAATATCCTTCCTGCCTGGCGTGGCGCTTTCACCCCAGACAACATGTTTATGTTTTTAAAAGACCAAAATATACTATCTGCCCCCACATCTCGCCTGCAGACCACCCAGGCACTTCACTCTGTGGGAAAGAGTTTAGGCATAAAAATCCTAATGAAAGAAGTTACCCCCCCCCTCACGCAACCTTTTGTTGAAATCGTAAGCTGTTATAGGAAATGAAAAGAAAGTACAACTTGGTAAAATAAAAAAAAGTCATTCGTCCAAAAACGTCCCTGCCCACTAAAGAGAAGCCAACATTTTCAATGACTCCATAAGGGATCTGCGTGTTGTTTTTTTTTTTTAAAAAAAAAACAAAAACAAAAACCTCATTTTACTCTAAGGGGAAAACAGCCCACCCATCATAATCACGTCCAAATAATAACTAAAAGACCATCACTCAGAAATCCCAGCTTAAAATAACTGGAAGGTCAGGCTTTAACCTGAGACAGGAAATTCCCGAGTTGAGACGGAGACTTTCGTACTTTGGTGTCCTGCAAGTTACGTAGATATAAATAATTGACTCTTTTTCAAAGGTCTCTTATTTAGAATTTGTATCAGTTTTAATAAATAGGGATAATGAAATAAATTAAGAAACATAGTTCAATTTTCATTTTCAATTTTCTGACTTCTTGGGATGGCCAGTTTACTGGAGTTACTTTGGCTTATCTTTATTGCATAAGACTTAGAAGATAATTCTTTTCTTGCATCTTTTTCTTAAGAAATGAGAGACAAAAAGGAAATAAAGTGAAATGGTCATACAAATAATTACACGGCCTGCTAATAATGTGATAACTCTTTTATATTTTGGCTAGGATTTTAGGTAATAATAATCTAATATATACCCTTATAGTTTGAGAAACAGGAAAAAACATCTTACTTGTTTTTCCCTTAGTTTTCATATTTTTAACAAGTTTTGGGGTAGGTTCAACGTAATTATGAAATATGCATATGCCACACCTGCTCTAGGACTGTTTTAAAATCTATCGGAAACATAAATTGTCTAAAAGCCTTACGAGAAGTCATTTTTCTCATTTTTTAGCACGATGTTTTCCACCTGAAAAAAAAAGTTATGATATTTCAAACTAAGATAACTTAGATATCTTGGTTTAATAAAACTATTTCTCATTGAAGGATAACGTATAAACTCACAAATATTTCTTTTTGTTTTTTCAGGTTGCATGCATCATTCCTTTAATTGAGCAGAGTAAACTGGATCAAATTATTTATGGGAGAGAGGGAAAGCTATACAGAATTAGAGTAATTTTTAATTTATACCAGGATATCCTTTGTGAGTGAATCACTCTATAATTACTTTCTGTTGCACTGAAAGAAAGTAACAACAGCAAAATGATACTTTAAGGTACTCATTTTTTTGCATACTCTAACCTTATATATTTAAATAGCAGCTAAGTTTATTGATGTTTTTGATTCTGTCAAGACAAAAAAAATATTCTTCTGATCAGCAGTGATGGCCAGAAACAGAATCAAACACTGATTTCTTAAAATTAAGCAAATGCAGAGGAAATTACACTCATCAGTTCTTTGTTAAAACTTTAGTCACTACGTAAAAATGTAGAATTGTTAAAAGTGTCGTTTTTTTTTTTTTCAGTCTCTGAAAAGTATTTTGCTCCCCATAAAATTTGTTTGCTATTTTCTCAGAATTTTAAAATTAAAGGTAAATAACAAACTATTTGTTTTCTTTAAAATTCTTTGAAAAATATCCTAACTATATACTCCTTGGACAATAATGTAGCTTTTGTTGTTGTTGTTGCTGTTGTTTTAAAATCTCTTATTGGAATTTTCACTGTCTGGATATTTTGCTTTTCAAAGGGGATGGAAGTTGTTACTTATGTGAATTGATAATTTGTGTTAAAAAAGCTAGAATTATTTTCAACTTGCCAGAATTATATTTTATATCTACACATTTAACACCATTAATTCTTTCTTATACAAATTACAAAGAAAATTTCCAAAGGGTCTGGTTTTAGTTTTTCGAAATGAAACGAATTTTCCTTTCCTGTGTTTAAGGTGCTATCTGTAACTGTACTGCACAGTGTGAGCTGCACTGTGGGTAAAGCTCTCCAGTTTGCACCTTTGATTCGTGGCATGACCCTGGAGTTAATTAAGAGGTGCATAACTTAATCCCACAACTGCCTTTCATTTAGCTTTCACAACCATACTTAGAAAGTTTGCATTTAAAAGGAAAATGAGAAATTTAAATAAATTCCTGTTATTTACTATGGTATTGGTAAAAAATATATTCCCTTGAAAAAGCCCACTATCAAAGCATCAGATACCAAAGTGCATTGGTTGGGCTGCCAAATACATTAGGCTCATGAATTATTTTGAGAATGGCTGCTGTTACCCTGTAGATGACAATTTTCTTTTTCACAGGCGAGGTTATGGTACTTATCTACTACGAGAAACATGTATAAACATGGCCTTTATCTTTAACTGCAGCATTAAAATATGCAAAGTTTTCGTGAAGAGGAAAAACATCTGGTTCAATTACTCTGAACTCTGACTGCATTTGGGCCAGTTATAATAGGAATTGGATTTAAGAATAAACCTTGTGTTTAATCTTTTCTTCCTCCTCCTTAAAATTTTAATGTGAGTTTTCTGTTATTACACCAATTATTTATGTTAGCACATTTGGAACAAATGTATATAAGTGTACTTTCTGAATAAAGTCAAAAGTCTAACTTGTTTTTAGTTCCATAATGTTTTAATGTTTAATTCTATTGTGTGTTTTTCTCCCTCTCCCCTTACCCTCCCAAATCACCCAATCTGGAAAACAGGCTGATTGTGTCTGTCCATGAGCAAAGGACACCTGAAGGAACCAAGGGCCTGGCTGGACAGAGTTGTCACGTGTCTGCCTGTCTACACTTGCTGTGCAGAACATCCGCTCACCTGTACAGCAGGCACAGACAGGCAGTCACATGACAACCCAGCCTGAGTGACCACCAGCCATTGAGACCAAGCAGCCCTCACACCATAGCATCTACACCAAGAGCTGCAACCAAAGTGAGGGGCTCGGGCCTGGGGTTTTAATCTGTTGGCTTAATACTTAACTCGTATGTATTATATTATTATTATTATTATTATTTTATTTTGATTCATATATTAAAACACACCAAAAGTAAAGCAAGTCGTGCCTATGAAATATAATAAAACCCATTTCTGAAAATGTTCCTGTGATTTCTATAGTTCTGTTTTCCTAACTGTTGTCAGTAAATCACCACCCTTGACACTGATTGTACGTATCTTTGCAGCATCCCATAATCAGCATAAGAAATCCATATATCAGAACCATATAACTTCAGTCTGATGTTTGACAAAGAATAAATTATTCCAATACTGCTAAACCCATAAACAAAGAATCGTTTTCATTTTCTATATCATGACTTTTTCTTCAAGGGGCGGGGGGGAGGGGGCTGGGGCATGAAGAGTAAGGAGAAAAAGGGAAAAAAGAGAATATCCCAGAGGATCCAGTATTCTGAATTAAGAGACTGCCACTCTGGTCTGGGAAAGGTCGGTGACAAAAAAAATTTCCAACATAATTTTCAAATTCATTAAAATAATTGCTTCTCCTCTTGATAGATGGAATGTCAAAATTGAAACTCCAATATTTGCAAGTATTGAAATGCACATAGATTTACTACCGTGTCATGTTTAGGTAAGAAGCGGCTCACACTACATTCCCGGAGTAGAATTTATGGGCAGCGCATGCACTTGGAACACAAGCTTTCTGTTCACTGTAAACACTCACTCCCTTGAGATCTTTGGGAAATTCAATATTTTCATAAGCACAAGGGACGAAGGCGCATCGTCGTTTCCTCATATCTTTTGAGGAGATATCCAACTTCCATTTATGCACTGTTCACTGGAGTGAAACAGCAGGGCAGGTTTTTGTATAGGAATATTTCTAACACTTCAGGGCAAATGGTGGGAAGATGGGTAAAATCAGAAATTTGTCAGCTTGGATTTGGTTCATCAAAATGTTTTAGCTTTCGGTATTTAAAATTAATTTTAATCTTTTAAGCTTAAATAGGTCATGAGGCTACCCCAAATTGTCTATTTTTTAAAATGTAATGATCAAACATTTTAAGTGTATGTTTTAAAAACTATTTTCCATTCAAATATTTTATTTTTAAAGTGAAAAGATTTAGTATGAAGGGTAGAAGCCTCATAAGGTTCCAAAATTTCTGAACGTGTGATATTTAAATCAAACCTGACAATATGGTTTTTTTAGTGATGGGCAAGACTGTGATGTAAAGATAGGATTAAAGATAATGTCTTGCATTTAAACAATCTGCAGTTACAGAAATACACCATCTGCTAAAATCCACTTGTGCTTCTCCAAGACTCATTGGCAAGGCAGGGTTTTACCTTAAATAAAATGCTCATGACTAGCCGACAAAATATGAAACAATCCTTCACAAAATGTAAGATATAAACAGAAATGTAAAAATGCCCCAAGAATTATTTACACAATTTCACCTGATTTTAAATGCTTTACTCAACCGACAGCAAACACTGCCTACAGAAGTTCACATGCACAGTCATTCCATGGCGCCCTGAGAGGCAGCCCAGGACAGAGCTGTCGGGTGACACATTAACCCATGCAGAACCTTAGAAGCCTGCTGCAGACCACCACAATCCCAGGAGGGGTGGGGAAGAGATTTATTCCAAAGTGAAGCACTCATCAAGCATTTCCTTTTGTAAAACATGAAGTTAATAACTTTTTGAAAAACTTTTTTTTAAAACTTACATCTCAAAAAAAATCTTAAAATAATGTTTCATATGCATTTTAAATTAAAGCACATTTAAATTTTTTTACTCTTCTGGGAAAGGGTAATATAAAAGGTAATAGGGTCCTTCCAGTCTAAACTTTTGAACAAAACAAACAATGCATATAGAGGAGTGGGTTTGGATCTAAACACATTTTTAAAAATATTTTTAGTTGTAGATAGACACAAAACCTTTATTTATCTTTATGTGGTGCTGAGGATCGAACCCAGGGCCTCGGGGTATACTAGGCAAGCATCTACCACTGAGATACACCCCCAGCCCCCTGAATGCATATTTAATAAAGCTGAAATAGCATTGGCCATTATAGTTTATTAAATAATACTTTTTTTTCAAAATTGCAAATCTTTGGATAATTCCAGAATGTAGAAATGTTTGCATGAAATAATCCGGCATTAAAAAGCATAAGATAAGATCGTTTGTGAAAAAAGACACAACTATGAAGATGAAGAATTTTAAGTAATATAAATGAATTAAGTTCAGTATTTATTTGGATTTTTTTTTTTAACTATCCAAGTTTGGGCTAAGTACAACATCTCAAGGAATGGGAGCAGTGTTCACAGGCTGGATGCTGACCTCCTGCCTCACAGAGGGCACAGGCCTAGTGGACAGCAGGTACCACCTTGAGAGCCTCAGACGCAGAGGGCAGAACCACATCGACATGTCTTGTCCCCAAAATCGGGACCTTCCAGGCATATGGCTGCCACTATGTTTCCTGTCACTGAAGCAACATTTGTCATCTGTTACAGCCACACAATAAAAACAATACTAAATAAATATCCCTATAAGGGAATTATATAATCTCCTTATCAAGCCATCCAAACATTTCAAGCCACAAAAACGAGGCCTGTAATTTCTTATGAGTCTAAAGAATGTCTAATTTTGATGGAGATTTTGGATTTTCTTAAAAAATGTACGGTTTAGTACATTTCCATGGGAATTTGGTTCTTTCCACTTTCTGAGGAGTGGTCCAGGATGATTTTAAACTTTACATTGGGCTTGAGAAACAGAACATTGACTGAGTGCCTTTACTATGAAAAAATTAGTAGTCCCTTCTCTTCAGACATTTTAACTGGCACAAGTTACACACACACACACACACACACACACACACACACACACATATTTCATTCATTTGTCATTGATGTTAAAAATTTAGAGCCAGGTGTGGTGATGCATGCCTGTAATCCTATTGGCTCAAGAGGCTGAGGCAGAAGGTTTGCAAGTTCAAAGCCAGCCTCAGCAACTTAGCCAGGCCCTAAGCAACTTGGCAAGATCCCGTCTCAAAATAAAACATAAAAAGGGCTGGAGATATGGCTCATTGGTCAAGCACCCCCTAGGTTCAATCCTTGGTTAAAAAAAAAAAAATTAAAGTTCTTTTTTCCTCGAATCAAAGCAGATGATTCCCCTAAAATTTACATTTCAGACTTAGTTTTAAAGAAAGGCCATCACTTTGTTCAAATTTTTATGTTAAAATATTAATGTGAATCATCTAGACCAAAGATTCTTTTGAAATGACAGGCTCTATTTTATTCCGATGCCTTGCCTTTTTCTAAATTCTCCCCAAGAACTGTGCAACATATATTTATGTGGGAAAATAACACTGAAAAATTCATTTTTTGTTTAACACAATTCCAAGACAACCTACTCTAATGGTGATTCTACCCAGCAGTGTGATAATTCAGTCAGGCACCTGCTAACCCGCCAGGGGATGAATGCTGCGCCTGTCCACCCACTTGCTCCACCTTACCTCCGACAGTCAGGATTCACGCAGCACCTCCTCCCAGCACTGCAGCCACTGGTGGGCCAGGTGCACAGAACAAGTGCTCCTGAGCCCCTGAGGCTTGCTGACTGTGCATGGGAGGGGGGTCCTGAAGAATCCCTTGGCTCCGCCCACTTCAGTCAATGTCACTGGACTGGCCCCTCCCAGGCCACCATGGCTTTTTACCAGTAGGCCTGGCAACGGCTCCCACCCAGATCTGCCCTCTTCAGTCAGTCCCCCAAGAGGCAACCCAGGGAGTCTGTAAAACTCCAAGTCTGATCATGAGACTCTTGCAGTTGGAAAGGGGAACAGCTCCTCGTCACTCTTAGAATTAAAGCCCTTCTTATCCAGGCCCTGCCTCTCTGCTGCAGTCCCTCTGGGTTGAATCCAGGTCACCAGGCTCACTCCTGTCACGAGACATGAGCACAAACATTCTCATCCCGTGACCCCCACCCCAGACACTCTCTGGCTTTATTTTATCCATAGCCTGTAATCAGCCTCTGGTAGGTTTTACTGACTTTTGTGCTTTCCCTAGTGGAAAACATTGCTCAGAAGGGCAGGTACATGAAATCCTTACTACTCATTTTATCTTGGGGGAGGATAGTGCTGCTACACAGAAAATAATTATTGGGAAACGTTCAGGCAATTAAGAGCACAGCACTGGCACACAGCAGCTGGCCAGGTTGCTCATTCACTTTGAATTTCTAGAATGGAGAGCGTCAATAAAGGGCTACCTTAGGTCAGTGCCTGTTCAACTATAAATACTCAATACTTATGAACCGTCATAGTGACAGCCATCGTCATCAGGATCATCAGTTTGGAAGCTGGCCTTCATCAGCTGTAACAGGTGGAAGGGTGGGGGAAATGCTATTGCCACCTCGGCTTCCTGCCCCCTGGAAGGCCGTTTGGCTTGGTTGGACATTCTGATCAGTGAGTGCTGGACTAGATATGGACAGGGGAGCTGATTTTACCTGTATTCACAAGAGGAGCACCTCGAGTGGGACATTCCAGGTTGACAGCACTGAGGGAGAGATGGGCGGTGAAGAGAGAAACAGAAACAAGGCTAAAAGCTGCCAGTAACACCCTGACTGGGATCCCCCTCTGGCTAAAAACTGCCATGCAGAGGGACATCTGTCCTAGTTGAGGTCATCTGCATTGCTGTACTTCATCCCCAACTCCTTGGTAAAGTAGCACCAATGATCTCAGGTCGTTATTTGATAGACATCGAAGAGCTAAGTAAGTACCACCTGCCTCAGATCATAAAGGAGACCTATGGACACAAGGCTGCATGTCCAAGCTCTGTCCTCACCCCACCCTGCAGGCCCTCGGGGTACACACACTGGCACCCTGAGCTGGGGAAGATGAACCAGAAAGAGGCCATGCAACCCCTGGAAATGGGCTCGGGGCCATTCGGGCAGGAATTTCCCAGGTCTGGGTTCTGCCACATGAACTAGATAGGAGTACAACAAGGCTTTGACGTATCCTCTCAGCTATTGCTACCCAACTGTCTAACCCTGAGAAAGATGGTGTACTTCTTTGTGTTATGGAAAGTTCCAATCTTGCAGTAATGTTAAGATAACAAAAAAACAGTCAAGTAGATAGATGAATGATGGCTACT